TTTCATTTTTCACACACAAACTGCACTTACACTGAATATATAATTGTTGTGATACATTTTATGGTTTTTGAAACACTAATATTTGTGGGGTATACAGCCACTTAGTCATAAACACTGGCCAAAATTGGCATTTAAATTAGTTTTTTGCATTTTTCACACTCAAACAAATATTAATGCTAACTTTGGCCAGTTTTTGTGACTAAGTGGCTACTAATAGAGACTAGACCCATTTGCAATACCTTGGGTTGTCTACTATTGCAAATGGTATGCGATCATTGGGATAATTCTCATTCATGGGTTACCATATGGTCTCAAAGGCAACGTAACCAATCTGGTGGATTTCAATGTGAAAAAAAAAAGAAAAATGTAACATGCTAGATTTGACCCTGTAACTTCCCAAAACATGAAACCTGTACATAGAGGGTACTGTTTTACACGAGACATCGCTGAATACAAAGATGTGTATTTTATTTCAGTAAAAGCAAACAGTATTATGACATTCACAGTTAAAATGTCATGAAGAACTAAAATAAATTTAATTTCTTAATTTCTCACATTTGTTTATATTTTATCCATATTAAATTATGTTTCATAGCTAAATATTTGATGAAAAATTAAAGCCCTATTTCTCCTAGATAAAATGATATATAATATGTGTGGGTACACTTAAAATGAAAGAGGTGAATGATGGTTGAACAGACATATATTTAAATTCCATATTTTGTTTATGTTTTATTTTGATCAAAGCGTGTACATTTGGCTCAGTCCTTAAGGGGTTAAACGTACATGCCGTAGGATAGAAAACACCACATTTTTATTTCAGGGAAAATAAATTAAAAACTGTTCTACTGACAGTGCTTTTACTGAATAGAGTTACATAGAAGTCTAGGTTGAAAAAAAGACTATCGTCCATGAAGATCAACATTGAAACCCCTTATTTTATGACGTTGATCCAAATGAAAGCAAAAAACGCAGCTGTGGCTATTTCCAATTATGCCACAAAAAGGGTGGGAAAAAAATCATTTTTGATTCCATAACGACAATCATATTTCTCAATGGATCTACAACCTGTCTTTTACATATCAATTACATCCTTGAATATTCTGTTTTTGCAAGAAAGCATCCATTTAAAAAAAATATGTATTGAATCTCAGAATCCAACCTCTTTAGGTTAAGAATTACACATCATTATTGTTCTTACTGTAAAGACTCTCTGCCATAAGTCGAACGGCATTTCTTCCAGTCTCAATGGGTGACCTCTTGAATGTTGTAAATTCATAGTAAGGGAAATGTTAGCACATAGTGGGTTGTACTGACCCTGTATATATTTGTATAGTGCTATCTTATCCACCCTCAGGTGCTATTTTTCTAAAGAAAATAAATTCAGTTTTTCTAGCCATTCTTCAAAATATGTTTCCATTCCCCTTATTAATTATGTATCTCATCTCTGCACTTTTTCTAATTCTGCAATATCCTTTTTTTAAACGTACGCACAAAATAAACAACATGATCAAGATGGGGGTCTCACCATTTATTTATAAAGAGGCAAAATTATATTTTGATCATGTGAGTCAATACCATTTTATATTATATCATGTTCAGACTGTATATTATCTCACGTTCAAACTGTATAATCATACCTAGTTTTGTGTCATCTGCAAAAAACAACAAACAATTTTCAAGTTTTTATAAAAGCTGGGGTAAGACAGCAGCTCATACCCTGAGTCAGATCCTGTTATACAAGGTCTTTTCAGCACTGACTCAACTCTGTGTCCTCTCCTGTTAAAGAGACTTCCATGGATGGATCCTCTCTTAACATGTGCAAAGATTGCTGTCCATCTGAGGAAACTGTGAATTGTGAGAGCCTGTTTGAGTCTCTTACCCATGTGATATAACAGAAATATACATTTCTAAAGTTCACCGAACACGTTAGCCAGAACAGAAAATAGTTACAGAAATAATATATGAAAAAATGATTTTACCTTTCTAAAATATATTAATGTGACATGTAATGCTTTTTTATTGAAATTACGATGACAGTGTTTTTATTAAGTCCCTTTTTAAAACCTGTTAGAGAATGCTCTATTACTTTGATTCAAATAACATATTTTTCATTTATCTATAAATAAGCAATAAAAAACATGGCTATTATTGTTGTGTGGTTTGCTTGTAATTATTGCATAACTGTACATCACTAGAGTAGTTTGCTGTTGTAGCATCATATTAGACAGGGTTTATTGGATATAAAACCTAACTGAATTATGTCACAGAAAATAGCTACAACAGTGTGGTTTTACTTCAGCAAATTCATCATTAAGATATAAATGAATAATGTATGTAAACGGAAAGAATTATTGCCTCAAAGGACTTTTACGTGTTCTATAGTCTAGATGTGAACAGACAAAAAGAATAGGTACTCAAAAGGACAAAGAAGCAAACAGTACAAAGGCTGTCAAGTTCATTTCTAAAGGAAGATTACCCTGCTGTCCGTAACAGAAGACTTGAAATTAAAAATAATTTAAGTAAATGTAGAGCCCCTTCAATCCACCTTGACACGAGAGTGCACAATTTGCAGAACAATAAGTAATCTAAGAATGAACTGATCACAAAAATGTAATTAAAGATGGATAATGTTAAGGTTACTGTCGTAGAAGTGCTTTCGACAAAATACTCTTTGTAAGTGTCCATGTCTCATTTTAATTATTCGGTGTAGAAATGTACATAGTACTTTACAGAACAACAGCACAATAACATGCAGACAGGGTTATAACAACTAAATTAAAAACAGAAAACATGTTAATCCTTTCAACAAATTAAATTAAGAAATTAATTTTCTCAGTTTACAAGCAGCAAAAAGAGAAACATTGCTCGATAGTTTTACCTTTAACAGCAAGCTATAGTGAATTGATTAGCAACGTACAATATTTAGGCTAAAATAAACGAGTGGGGAAAAAATCTTATAAACCAAAAATAAAGTGTGCTGTGTCTTTAAGACTTTTTAATAGATAAAAGTGTGATTTTTGCATTAAACATAAAACAATTGGTGTAGCACTATTCTTATACCCCAAGTGCCAGAGTGTACTGTGCTAAAACACATTAATATGTGTAATATTGTGCAAAATTATGAACATAATAAAAACTACAAAATAGTGATATTTACTCAATGATGAGTATTCCACTTTGCTTGTCTCAAGGTTCCAATATGATATCTCAAAAAGAGAAAAAGGACAAGCACATATGCAATATGTATTGTAAAAAAAGGAATAGGTAAAATAGACAGAAACACTCAAAAATGTAGAGCAGTAAAGTCTGCTCTGAACTGTGATGGCATCTTTTGAAGCTGTGGTGAAGGCAAACAATGCCTTATTCACAATCTGGATTAAAACAGCTTCCAGGCAGGTAAGTCCCCTTTCCTATACTCTTTCCTCTCCTCCGTTTTGGGTCTTATCCAGTCCTTGGGTCGAATGCTGGCTTCACAGAACTCAGAGGGCTGGATTCGTACCACACTTCTTCCAGGAGGCGGGGCTTACGCCGTTTAATGTAATGACGTAATGACGTCAGAGCGTGATTACCCATTTCGCTGATGCACTCGGCTGCATCAGGTCTGCCCTTACTTCAACCACAGTCTCAATTTAAGTCTCAACAGTGGGCGTGACTGACCAAAAAGTCTCGAAATAACACCATATAATTGGCTAAAATGAAAAATCCTTTTTGCATAAGCATATGCAAGCACCCAACTGTTAATGCATACTAAAAGGGAATATTCACTAAAATGTTAAATCACATTTAAAAAGTTAAATGTCCCATATGAAAAAAACAGTGTTATTAAAATATCCACAATGCTAAAAAAAGCTTCTGTATATAGAAAACTCCTATAAACACATATCAAAACACAGCATATTAGGAATAGCACCACAATCATGCAATTATAATTATACTATAAAATAAAAATAACCAGCATACCATTGCATCATACTACACAGTACATGTACCAATATATATATATATATATATATATATATATATATATATATATATTGGATTTTCATTTTTAATATATACATATATATATATATATATATATATATATATATATAATGAAAATCCAGCGCACTCGCTTATCTACTGAACAGTCATTTTAATGCTGAACAATTTTATGATTTTATTAAAAACACCTAATCTAGGCAAAAAAATAATGGGGGTTTAGTTACAGTATATGATCATACATTGCATAAGCCTGCCACAACGTCAATGTACCCCATCTTTGGCAGGTCCTGCTCTGAATGCTAAATGATGCTAAATATATATACCAACTTAAAAATAAAGGAAAGGAGAAAATTAGTACATATTAAATCAACCATTATAAAAATTAATAAACAATAAAATATTATAAAAAAGTATAAAATTATTATAAAAAATTTAAAAGATCAAAATCTATGTTTAGACCATTTGGCTCTAGGGTTTTTAGTTTCTGGACTCGCTTCATCTCTTCCCTATCTATTTTTAAAATATGGTCTCCTCCCCTATAGGGTTTATTAACTATTTGAATTCCTAAAAATATGAAGCCTCTGGGGTCCATATTATGTTTTTCTTTAAAATGAGCAGAGACACTATGCTGTGTGACACCCCTTAAATTATTGTTTATATGTTCTCTAATTCTTTTGTGGAGTGGGCGTATTGTACAGCCAACATATTGTTGCCCACATGGGTAAATTAAAAGATTAATTAAGTTTCTAGTAAAACAAGTAATACAATCATTAATACAAAACTCTTTGTCATTCTGTTTACTTTTGAATTTATTTATACCCTTCAAGGTCTTATTTCTGCTATATCTGCAGCCAGTACATTTCCTGCAGGAATAAAAACCTTTTCTATAATTTAAAAAATGTTTCTGGGGGCCGGAGCCTGACAGCCGAGGCAACCAGACGTGCTCTGTAAGAGCTCTTGCTTCTGGCCCAAATAAAGTGAGAATAAAAGCCCAGGCTACCTACTTAACAGACCGCAGAGGCACTCATAAGGCTGAGCAGTCTCTGGTGCAACGGAGGACACCCGCAGTGAATTTGTCCGGTCCCGGATCGACCCGCTAGTGGCTTGCGGCCCAGGGAGTCAGAAGGAGAGGCCGCTGAACATGTACTGGAACGCTTGGATGCAATCTTCGCCAGCTTCTGGGCCAAGTTGGAGGCCCGCATCACAGCGACACAAAACGGAGCTCCTGAGGAAGAGCAACCCAGAGAGCTACCCCATAAGCACGCGGAAAGCCCAGCAGCGTCAGGGGGACATTTTGTGAAAAGAAGCAGCAAGAAAAAACACTCCCCCTGCACGACTCTCAAAAGGAGAAGGCACAAGAAGCCACAATGGCAGGTGATGCCTCACCAACAAGCCCAACAGTGTGGACCACTCTACCCACCTCGGCTACAGAGCCCCGGACTCCCCCGGCGGGAGCAATGCAACCCAGAGGTAGCCCCCCTAATCGCATGGTACACAAGACCGACAACACACAGAGGCCTCAACTTTTCATGCCTCTACACAGCACACAGCCAGGGCTGGAGGGGGACACAGAGACTGGTATCATATGGCCACACCACACATGGACTCAAAGCGGGATAGGCTTAACACAGTAAGCAGACTCACACAACACCATATGTCATCAGGGTAGCAGCCAGTTAAAATTTTCACAGTATGATATAGCGTTGAAACTTGTCTTATAACTCATGCCTTTCTTACTCATGCTATCAATTACTTAGCTTCCGCTCAGATCAAACTTGTCTACAGCAATGATATATATCTACAGCCGAAGGTATACTGTTGAGCCTGCTTAGATCATAAAGATGTGTTTATGCGTTGATGGAGCTTAGCTATGTTTTACACTTGTGTTACAATCCATAATATAAAAATTGTGCATGTTAACCTCGTGCCATGCATGTTAAGCGTGGTAATTGCTAGAGGACTGACTTTGGGGCACCTCTTACTTACCTGTATTATCTTCTGCACTACAAAAAATAAAAAAAATAAAAAAAAGTTTCTGTTTAGTCCTTCCAAGGTGTTTATGGGTTAAAATTAAAATTAGGGGCCCCTCTAAACAATGTTTTGTTGGTATAACTTTGGCTAACTCCGTATCCTTTTGCGATATATGCCAATGCCTATTTATTATCCCTATGTGCAATATTAAAATCAAATACCAACGGTACACTGTAAAAGTTCTTATCCTCTTATGCAATGCCAGATAGTTTTACAAATTGCCTACTTTGGCTTATTATTATTAATATTGTTGGCATTTATATAGCGCCAACAGATTCCGTAGTGCTTTACAATATTGTAAAAGGGGGAGATTTAACAATAAATAAGACAATTACAAAAAACTTACAGGAATGATAGGTTGAAGAGAACCCTTCTCAAACGAGCTTACAGTCTATAGGAGGTGGGGTCTAAAACACAATAGGACAGGAGATTAGATTCACAAGTTGGAAGATACATCACTATAGCCCTCTTCCCTCTATGTATTACATTTTGCTTGTATAGTATAGATAAAATATTTTGGAACATGCCTAACTTATTCATAATATTGTTACCCAGACCAATTATCATATTGGTAGACAATACGTAAGAAGATGACTTAACCAGATACCTCCTAAATCTTTTTCTCTTTCACTCATCAACCATTAAACTCTTAATAATGTCTTCATGTCCTAACACTCATTATTTAAAGTTGAAGGGTGGATGAGACATAGTAATTATGACTACTTCACAAAGTTGTAGGTGGTATCTGGATAAGTCATCCAAAAGAGTTTGACACTGTAAAGGAAATCACGAAAGCTTGCTGTATACATCCAACTGTCCTGAAAAACAGATAGACCAAATTTCCTAATGACATGATGAGTTAATATCTGCTCTCTCAAAAGTTTTCATGTTTGCTGGGATGGATAATCTTAAAAAAATGTGTCTAAGGTGCTAGAACACTTAAATAAATCTTGAAAGTCATTTACAAACCTAGGACAAATTGATAATTGGATACATTTTGTCTAAATATGAGCTTAATATTTTATTAATTGGGTTTTCTATTTTTTATAAACAGACCCCTTGAGATAGAGCTTGACATAACTTTTTAATAACTTTTCAAGTATGGAATAATGAATACACTGCTGATTTTTTATTTCTTTGTAAACAGTAATAGACTCTTTGAGTACTGTGCCTAGAAGTATATAACTGAATTACAAGATCTAAGAGCATCCAATGAAATTGTGTTGGCTAGTTGTATGTTTTGGGCATTAGGGATTGTGCCTAATATTCACAAGCTCATTTCTTAAAGGTGACATTGAAAATAATATATCAGTATTTGCATAAGACATATATTTAGGTAAGATATGAGTTCAATGTTACTGTATTCCTTGTAGGGGAGTTTGAATGAATTAGAGGACTAGCCAGTCAAACAGTAAATGAAAAGTATTATAAGACATGTAAATGTATGCATTTTGGAAGAAAAATAGACTTACAAGTCATCTTATAAATAGTTTTAAGTTAGGGAAATCATTACAAATGAAGAATTTCAAAATCATCACATGCATCAGTGCACATTGTCAGTCAGTGGCTGTGAGGACTGGTAAGATATTGAATTGTATTAGAATTAATATTGTATTATAAACAATATTATACTGTATTAAAATTGATATTGATCCATGAGAAGAAAACAATATGTGCCTCTTGACAAATTATCGAAAATACTAGACCTTTAACAAGAGGTCCATAGATTTTCAGAAAGATTATAATAACACAGGAAAGGATTCTTTGTCGATTAAGAAACAGTAGATATGGAATTCACTATTAAGGGATTTTGAAGATAATGTAATATATGCCATTAAAATGGACTATATGCATGTTTGGTGAAGCAGAATATAAGGGCTATGAATAGCAACACACTTACGATAATACCTTGTTAATCAGTGGAGTTCAAAAACAATTTTTTGAGTCAAAATTTGAAATACTTTTAATGTGCTTTTTTTCTTCTTTATTTTGGATTCACAGCAGTAAAAAGAATCCATGCAGTTTTGGGATTACATATTAAGCTATAAAACATATGGGTAAAACATTTAGGAAAACTATTTCAGAGCAATTTAGAAGTTCAAATTCAGAAACATTGTACTTTGATGTTCCATCTTTCAATAGAGAAACTCTAAATACAACTACATTAGCCCCAAAATTAAAATAATTTCCTAATTAATTGAAATGTGCTCTGAATGTATTTGCATGTAAAGAAAGGCAGTGTTTACATTGTATCTTAAAGTAATTCTATAGGCACGCAGACCACTTCCTCTCATTGAAGTGGTCTGGGTGCAATACCCTAGTTCCCTTAAACCTGCAAGTAAAAATATTGCAGTTTTTGAAAAGCTGCAATATTTATATTGCAGGGTTAAGATTGGCTCTGGTGACCGCTTGCAGTTTCAAGGAATTTAACTCCATAAAACAACAGTGGACATCTTCAAGCTGTGCACGAGGATGTCCAGCATCTTGCAAAACCCTACAGGAAATCATTGAGCCAATGTTTTCCAATGGGGAAGGCCTATGCTCACCACAAATGTGCATTAGATGTCACTGAAGGAGGAGCCCAAACCAGTGCCAAAGGACCTTAGCACCGGAATCAAGTAAGTATAATTTTTTTTAGCATTTCATGGCCAGATGGGAACTGGGAAGGGGATGAAGGTAGAGGGACACTGTAATGTTAGGAATACAGTTTTGTATTCCTAACACTATAGTGTTCCGTTAAGGCTATCTCTTCCTGGTTCTATCATGCAATTTTTGCAAGATCTGTATTCAACATCTTTATGCCCAGCATGAAGTTGCCAAACACTCCACATATAGATGCATTGAGTCAATGCATCTTAATTATGAGATGCTGATTTTCACAATGTCGTGATTGGCACACATGTGCACTGGCCTCCCGATATTTATGGAGAAGCATTAGATTGGCTGGGAGAAGCAAGTGCTCCAACGAGAAAACCTTCCCAAGGTGTGAAAATTAAACAATAATTATTTATTTTACATAATTAAGCATGGCCCATAATCTATATCATGCGTGTAACACTCGTAACATAAGAAATAAATGTTTGTATTTCTAATGTTAGTGTTTGCCTATAAATAGTTACTCCAAGCATCATAACATAGTCCACTGTGGTAGTTAGAATGCCAGGAGTAACCTGACCTGGTTCCCTGATAATGGTTCAAACCATTTTGTAATGGTTTGCCCCTTTACCTTGGTCCATTGTGGTTCAGTGGTTTGCATCCAGCTTTTGCAAGCTGCCATCACCAGTGTCACCTGACCACTTTCAGCCAATGAATACAATTCTATGTAATGAAAGTTACACAGAGTTGACCTGGAACTCTAGTTCTATGCTGGCGGATGACACTCCAATGACATTGCCAAAGATAGATTTACACCTCTTGCTGTAGAAAGTTTCAAAGTGATATGCTGCACATACAGACTTCAGGCACTATGACCACTTAAAATAACTGAAGTGGCCATGTTGCTTGGAGTAACCATTAAAAACCTTTACATGACATTCTAAAAAAAGGTTTTGAAATCATTGAACAACAAACATAGTATATCATTTGAAATAGTTTTTAATGGTAGTTAGTTCCTACATATAGATAAACGATAAGATAATTCATTTTTCTTATACAGAAAAATAAATAACATGTAAAAAGAGTGAAAAATGTGGTCAGCGAATTAGTGTCCAGTGCCCAAACATACAGTGGCAGAATATTTTAAAAGGTGATCAAGCACAAGACGTAAAGTAGCAGGGAAGAGTTGCAATAAAGATATATTTTGTGCAGAGAAGAATACCATACTGGTCATCATTAGTGATGCACCGAACGGTTCGCCGGCGAACAGTTCCAGGCGAACATAGCGTGTTCGCGTCCGCCGCGGACGGCGAACACATGCGCGGTTCGATCCGCCCCCTATTAGTCATCATTGAGTAAACTTTGACCTTGTACCTCACAGTCAGCAGACACATTCCAGCCAATTAGCAGCACACCCTCCCTAGCAGACCCTCCCACCTACTGGACAGCATCCATTTTAGATTCATTCTCAAGCTGCATGCTTAGTGAGAGGAGGGAAAGTGTAGCTGCTGTTGATTAGATAGGGAAATGCATAGCTAGGTTAGGGTATACAGTGTCCACTACAGTCCTGAATGACTCATCTGATCTCTGCTGTAAGGA